GCTTTCCAAATCCGAAAGGAATCTTGCATTAACAAAATACCATGGTTTAGCTGTCTAAAAATTTAGATTTTATGTAATTTTCATTACATCAACGAAGTACAATCATTCATAATAATCCTATGACAGTCACCTGCCAACTTGGGTACTCTCTTGCAAAGTAGACTTCAATTCCCAGAATCCATCATCCAATATGGTTTTCACTGAGAATTCTGGGGGCTACTTAGAGAACAATAATAGGGTTGGAAGGGACCTTGGAAGTCTTCTAATCCACTGTTCAAGCTCGAGATCCTGTACCATTTCTGACAAATGGCTGTCCAGTGTCTTTTTGAAAGCCTCCAGTGATGAGCACACACAACTTTTGAAGGCAAGCTGTTCCATTGGTTGATTGCTCTCATTGTTACAAAAATTCTCTTTAGTTCTAGGTTGTTTCTCTCCTTGGAATCCATTGCTTCTTGTCCTGCCCTCAGGTGCTTTGGAAAATAGGTTGACCCCCTCTCTCCTTTGTGGCAGCCCCTCAAATACTGGAATACTGCTACCATGCCACCCCAAGTGCACCAACCATCAGTGGTGTATTAACCATTAAGCAGACCAAGCATATGCTTAGGGCACCAGACCCAAAGGGGGTACCACAAAGTTGAGAATATGGCTTCGTTTGTACAGTATGTACAAAGGAGGGAGTGGGGCACCAAGATTTGTCAGTGCTTAGGGCACCAGTGAGCCTTAATCCGCCACTGCCAACCATACCCAATTCCTGCAACTGTTGTTGGTATCTTTTAGCCTAATTATTCTTGTTGCTCTTCTCTATACTTTTCCCAGTACCTCAACATACATTTTGTTTTTTGGTGACCAGAACTGGATACAGTATTCTAGGTCAGGGGTCGCCAACCTTTTGGACCTCAGAGACCACCAAACTCATAATTTTAAATCCCGCAGACCAGAGACCCTGGGAAAATCCCCCCAAAAGGCTGCAGGAAAATTCCTCACCCCGTTCTCCTATCAATTGATCATTCTTTATTTGGGATCACAGGATACCATCTCCAGCTCTGTTCCCGGGGGAGTGGGAGAGAGAGAGACTTTTAGCTTTATGCAAGGAAAGCAGCAGCAGCAGCAGAAGTCTTTCTTTCTCTTCCCCAAACTCCACCAGAAATGAGTCTTTGTGAGACTTGTCACACCAGCGCAGCCTCTTGGTGCAGGATGTCTTGCAGGGTCCCAAAAACTCATTTCTGTTGGAGTTTGGGGGAGAGAAAGACTTTTGCTGCTTTCCTTGCATGCAGCCAAAAGCAGAAGAAGAAAGAATTGGAAAGAAGCAGCCTGGTGGCCAGGCAAGATGTGTGGGGCAAGTGGGGCGAGTTCCCCCCATCCGCCTTTCCCCTCTCCCCTCACTACCTCATGTTGTTCACAATGCAAGCAACAGAAGCCTTGTCTTCCCACGGGCCACGTGGGCAGCGCAGCCTTGAGTTCCTGTGCAGCCTGGATTAATTGCTTTGGGGGTGATTTGGGGATGACATTTCTCTGCAGACCACCAAAATTTTCTCATGGACCACCAGTGGTCCCTGGCCCACTGGTTGGTGACCACTGTTCTAGGTGTGGCCTTACTAAGGCTTTATAAAGCAGTCTTAATACTTTACATGATTTTGATTGTATTCCATTGTTCGTACAACCAAGAACTGTATTAACCTTAGCTGCAGTTGTGATTTTACTAAGGCTGTATTTTGTTAGTACACTTGAGGTGAGCCAGGTTGCAGGAAGTTGTTATATAGGCTTTTTTTTTTTTATTTGTTAGTATATGTTTTATTTTTTTATTCATCGACATATTTTGAATACAGTGTATTGTCAGGGTATATCATTTACAAAAAAGCAAGAGAAAAATAGGGGCATTTTTTAAAAAAGCATCCATCCTTGACCTAATTATATATCTAGACCAGGGGTATCAAACTCAATTTCATTGAGGGCCACATCAGGGCTATGGTTCACCTCTTTAGGGAGAAGGAACTGTGTGGGCGTGGGCAGCTTGACACCACTCTCCAAACTGCTGGCATGTTTCTGCTTCACATTGGGTAGACTGGGCCGAAGCCAGGCTGACCCAATCTTTCCTCTTCGCATTAGGTAGACCAAGATGGCCCCTGGGCTGGATCCAACCACATCGCAGACCTAATCTGGCCAACGGGCCTTGAGTTTGACAACCCTGATCTAGATCATTGTTCAGACCCTCAGTTACTACACTTAAATAAACAATATTGCCTATGCCAGTGGTGGGATTCAAAAAACTTTACTACTGGTTCTGTGGGCATGGCTTGGTGGGCATGGCAGGGGAAGGATACTGTAAAATCTCCAGTCAGAGGTGGGATTTGCCGGTTTTCTGAACTATTCAAAATTTCCACTACCGGTTCTCCAGAACTGGTCAGAACCTGCTGAATACCACCTCTGAGTAAAGAGTAACCATAGCAGGTGTAAGTAAGCATTTTTTCTTTTTGCAGAAATTGACTCTAAAGTAGATGCTAGTTGAAATGATAGTTTTAAATATTATGGGACATTCAGGTTATACTTGTACTTCATGTTTTAGTTCTGAAAGTGCAATTTAGTGAATTATTGTATCAAAGTCTTGATGTTGCTTTGTACTCTTTTGCAGTGCACCTATAGGAAAAAATGTTCTACTATTTAATCGTGCAAGAGATAATGTACACTAAGGCAATGTAACGAAGAGAATTCAATGTCATAACAATTTCAAATGCTGGTATATTTAAGAATAGTGTAAATGGCACGAAACTACATAATTTTAAAAACAGAAGTACAATATTTTTGGGGGTGACCAGAAATTCCTTGACAAATCTGGTAGATTTGTCTCCAGTATTTTAGACATGCTTCAATATTTTTATTTCTGAAGTGAAGACACCTCAAGTTTTTTTGAATGATGCAATTGAACTTTGTGTTTATATGAAAAATACTGGATGAGCTTCCAACTCCAGAATCTTTTCATAAAAACAGTATTAAAATAAGTAGTATCATTAACTATAATTGATAGCAGTCTTCCAATATTTGAGAGGCTGCCACAAAGAAGTCAACTTTTGACTTCCAAAGCACCTGAGGGCAGGGCAAGAAGCAATGGATGGAAACTAATCAAGGACAGAAGCAACCTAGAACTAAGGAGAAATTTCCTGACAGTAAGAACAATTTCCTGACAGTAGTACAGATTGCCTCCAGAAGCTGTGAATGCTCTATCACTGGAGGTTTTTAAGAAGAGATTGGACAACTGTTTGTTCAGAATGGTATAGATTCTCCTGCTTGAGCAGTGGGTTGGACTAGAAGACCTCCAAGGTCCCTTCTAACTCTGCTATTCTGTATTATTCTGTATATTCTGTAAGTGTAACAATTAATAAACAGTAACAATTAAAGAAAAAAAGCAATGGGTTCTATTACAAATTAATCTCAGAGTCATGTTTATGAATGAACAATAAAAAGGTCCATAAAAATAAAATAAAGAATGAATTTAAACATATAACAACTTTTTTAGACAATTAGTCTTATAGCAGGGATGTCAAACTCAAGGCCCGTTGGCTGGATCTGGCTGCATCTGCACCTCCTCCCCTCCCATCCCCCAGGCAGGCTCCATTTTCATTGGCAGTGGGCTAGCAAAACGAACTAAAAACAAAGCAAAAGGAGAAATGTTTCACCTTTTGCATTTGAGCATGGAAGAAGGGATAGGAAAGGAGAAAGGGAAAGAGGAAAGACAAAGGAAAAGATGGGAAGATGGGAAGAAAGCAAGGAAGGAAAAATAAGGGAAGGAAGCCAGCAAACAAGCAAGCAATGAGATTATAATGGGAGTGAGGGAGGGTCTGAGGGAAGTCTTCTGTTAACACTTGGTCACCACAGATGCCCTGACATGAATGACATTGTGTTGGCCCTCTGAGGTCAAACACAACCCTGATGCAGGCAGTGGCCCTCAATGAAATCAAGTTAGACCCCTGTCTTATAGTATTTAGCATGAATGACTTTTCTTCAATCGTTGACCCTTGAGATGTATTTCCCCAATATTCATTTATAGACATTTTGGTTAGAAGAAAACACATGTCCTTGTTTCCTTTTCGTTTCAGTTGAGTCTACTCCCTCCAACTCTCCCCTTTCACTTAGCTGGGAAGGGACAGTTCACCAGTTCTTCATTAAATCTTATGTAGGAGTGTAGTTTTGTCCTTTTCCTACAGAACTGTTTCCAGTACAGATTTCAGGCCTTTGGATTGGTCATGCTCCAAAACCATCACCTTGCTTTTTACAGAAATTAATGGTATCTTACAGATGTCCTAAAAACTTAACATAGTTGGCTTTCCATGTCTCCAAACTTAGAAAAATTGACCTGTTGTAGACATATAGGTAGTTCTTAACTTACAACCATTAGTTTAGTGACCATTTGTGCTAGAAATTCAGGTTATATATAGCACCACAGACCAAACAAAGAATACAGTCACCATGTGCTTTGCTGCTCAACTATATAACCATAATAGGAAACAGGAAACTCTCCTCAGAACATAAAGAAACCATAGATGGTAATCATAGATGCACACTAAACACTGCCCTCTACTGACTGAATAATTCTGTAGTTGTTGCAATACAAGATACATTCTAACATTTATTCCAACAGTTTGAAATTACAACAGCACTGGAAAAAGTGATTTATGACAATTTTTTCCTCATGGTACTGCAATTGGCATGTACTTATGATAATTGTAGTGTCTTTGGATCATGTAATCACCTTTTACAATCTTATGACAGGCAAAGTCAATGGGGAAGCCAGATTCACTTAATAACCATATTGTTAACTTAGTAACTGCAGTGACTCGCTTAACAAATGTGGCAAGAAAGGTTGTAAAGTGGGACAAAACTCACTTAATTGCTGACTTGCTTTGCAACAGAATTTTTGGGTTCATTTGTGGTTGCAAGTTGAAGACTACCTATACTTAAAAAAAAAACTTCTGTAGCTTAAAATACTTCACTTGACTTTCTTGAGATCATCCATTGCATTGAATTGTCTTCTCCTTTTTGACTGAGTGGTTTTCCACCAAAGCAAGTTGACCAACCCCTTTCCTTATGAAGAAGACCTTCCTCCGGCACCAGAGTTTCCTCATAGAGTTCTTCACCTCTTTGTTTCTCAGGGTGTAGATTACCGGGTTGAGGAAAGGGGTCACCATGGTATAGAAGACAGCGGCCATCTTCTCGGTGGTAAAGCTGGAGGTGGGGTGGGTGTAGATAAAAATGCAAGGTCCTAAAAACAAGACCACCACAAGTAGGTGGGCAGCACATGTGGAGAAGGCTTTGTGATAGCCCTCAGCCGTCTGCTTTCTCAGGGAGAGAAAGATGACGGCGTAGGAAGACACCAAAGCCAAGAAGCAAAGCAAAGAGATCACCCCACTGTTGGATATCAAAAGCACTTCAGTGAAGTATGTATCGGCACAAGCCAACTTCATGATTGAGGGAATGTCACAGAAAAAGCTGTCTATGACATTTGGGCCACAGAAAGGAAGATGAATGGTGAGGAAAGTCTGGACCAGAGAATGGATGATGCCTCCGATCCACAGAGCACCCACCAACCATGCACAGATCTTCAGGTTCACAAGAGTTGCATACTGTAATGGATAGCAGATGGCAACACAGCGGTCATAGGCCATGATGGTCAGAAGGAAGATCTCAGCAGAGGCACAGATGTGGAGAAAGAAAAATTGTGCCACACAGCCCCCAAAGGAGATGATCTTCTGCCTGAAGAAAGAGTCCAGGAGCATCTTCGGTGCCGTGACAGAGGAATGGCAGATGTCAAGGAAGGACAGATTTCCCAAAAGGAAGTACATGGGCGTGTGGAGGCACTGGTCCCAAGCCACCGTCAGTACAATCAAAAGGTTTCCTACTAGGGTAAGCAAGTAGATGATGAAGAAGATTGCAAATAAAACCAGTTCTAGACTCCGATTATCAGTCAGTCCCAAGAACACAAAATGAGACACTGTCTGGTTCACTATTGGAAGGGGGGAGATGAACATTCATGCATTCAACCTAAACAAAGAGAAATAAGGTATTTTGCTCAAAGTATGTATGTGTAGGAAAAAAATATTCCTCAATATTATTTATTTAGCGTATGGCAAAGATGTTAAAAAGCACATCACAGTTACATTCTCACTGGCTAAATATGAAACTGAGCCAGCAGCTGCCAAAAAAGCCAACACGGTTCTAGGCAGCATGAACAGAGGGATAGAATCAAGATCACGTGAAGTGTTAATACCACTTTATAATGACTTGGTAAGGTCACACTTGGAATAGTGCATTCAATTTTGGTCAACATGATGTAAAAAAGATGTTGGGACTCTAGAAAGAGTGCATATATTGTGATTATATATATATATATATAGTGTGTGTGTGTGTGTGTGTGTGTGTGTGTGTGTGTGTGT